TGTGTGTGCGTGTGTGTGTGTGTGTGTGTGTACATGTATGGCCTGCATGGATGTAAATGCACTCATGTTCTACAGTGCCCAGGGAGGTCGGGAGAGGGCATCAGATTCCCTGAAACTGGAATTACAGATGGTTATTAACTGCCATGTGAGTGCTGGGGACTGAACCCGGGTCCTCTCCAAGAGCCGTCTGTGCTCTTAACCACTCGGTCATCGCTCCAGCCCTAGTTTTGCTCTGAAAGAACAAGAAGGAAACCATTTTTTTGTTTGTTTGTTTCTTTGGTCTTTTTGAGACAGGGTCTCCCTGTAGCCCCAGCTGGCCTGGAACTCACAGAGATCCACCTGCCTCTGCCTCGCCTCCCGAGTGCTGGGATAAAGGCATTGCCACCATGCCCAGCCAGGAAACAATTTTTAAGCCATGAGTTGTCCTTTCTTTTTGTTTCTAGACTGAATTCATTTGAGCCTAAAATTGGGAACCAAATTTCACTCTATTTGAACATACTTCGTATCTGTGGGCCAGCACAGTGCAGAGCAGAGCAGAGGCCTGCACACGTGTGACGGCTGTGGCTGCCCTGGGGAAACCCGGCTCTCTTGCCCTTGTTTTGCTGCATATGGTCAAATGTGTTGAGTTCTTATATCAAATGTGCTATTTTGACCATATGGGAAAGATAATTTGGGGGCAGTTTTATTCTTTGTAACCAGGGATTTTGGCCTTAACAGGTTGGGTTGTCACTGAACACCGTGGTGAGCCTGGGCAACTCCTGCTGCCCAGGCTGTTGGTGGGTTGAACGGTGGTGTGGAACACGATCAGCTTGAGAAAGGCTGCTCACTGCCACTTCCCTGTTCCCTAAAGAGCCTGGAGGGGATGTTGAAACAGCTAGTAATGTGTCTGATTTTGACACCTGATTCAAGCATGTTTTCCTTTTAGAAAATAAGAGCTGTTTATTTACATAGGGCACATTTTAAATGCTTTTACATCTGTGTTTAAATTGGTAAGGCCCAGTAATTGTCCATATCTTATAAGAAAACCAAGGCAACTGGGCATGGTGGCACATTCCTTCAGTCCCACCTAGAAGGCAGAGGCAGGCAAATCTCTTTGAGTTTGAGGCCAAATTGGTCTACATAGGAAGACCGTGTCTCAAAAAAGCAAAGAAGAGAAAGCCAAGGTACAGTGTCTGTGAGCTGGCCAGCATTCACTCACTCGCATAAAGGCGTGGCTGTAACCCAGGGCTGACCTTCTCACTTGGCATGCAGCATGCAGTCCCAATCCTCACCATACTGACTGATGCTAGACACCCACTAAGTGCACTCGAGTGGCTGAACGAGGGGCCACCATCTGTTTGGATTGGATGCTGGTGTACAGCACACTTTCCTACTTCTCCAGCCGTGTACCAGAATGTAAACGATACTATAAGAACTACAGGCCCATGACCCTTTCATCAGGGAGTCAGCAATCCAAGATGGCACAGAGTGCGAGTTTGTTAACTTGAGCCAGTATTGCATCTTTGTGAACTTTTTATTCCATGTGTACGTGCGTGCGTGTGTGTGCACATGCATGTGCATGCATGCGCATGTGTGTCTACTACACTGGAGATTTTTCCACTCCTCAAACAAGTCTCAGGGGGTCATATCTCTACTCACCCAGTAAGAGAGCTTATGAGTACATAGGGAATTCTGCAAGACCTGAATCAAGTCTTGACTTCTTCAGTGGTTCCCAGTGGGTCGCATGGTCTGTGATCCTTCATCCAGACAGTGTTCTCAGGCCATGTGTGTGGTGTGTTTCTGTTTAGGGGGCGAGGAAGGGAGGGGGAGAGAGACAGAGGAGAGAGAGGGAGAATGCCTGCCACCACCTCAAAGAAGACTGGATCTCTTTCTGTTTCTGTGAAAGTTAATCTCATTTGCCATCTGGATGAGATCTAGACTCTCCTGGGAGACAGGCCTCGGGTGTGCCTGTGAGGGTATCTTGATGGGGTTGATTGAGGTGGGAAGAGAGCCCACTGTGGGTAGCACCACTCCTTGGGTAAGGATTCTGGACTGAGGAAAAGGGAAAATGAGTTGAGCGTCTGTTCGTCTCTCTGCCTCCAGCTGTGGGTGCGGTGTGACCTCAGGCGCTGCCACCATGACTTTCCTTCCTTCATGGCCACACACACGAACCGTGGGTCAAAACAAACCCTTCTCCCTTACATTGTTTTTGTCACGGTGTTTCATCATAGCCACAGGGAAAGTAACTAGGAAAGCATCACAGTACCAACATGTAGTAGCTGCTTTATTTTAACTTCACCAAATCATATCAGAGACAATATGAGTATTTAAATTAGAGTTCAACTTGAAAATCATGACTTTTTTTTGTTTTGTTTTTATGTGTATGACTGTATTGCCTGCATGTGTGTACGTGCACCTGTGTCATGCGGTACCCACAGAGAACAGATGAAGGCATCAGAGCTCCTGGAATTGGAGTTAGGGACAGTTGTTAGCTACCATGTGGGTGCTGGGAATCAAACCTAGGTCCTCTGCAAGAGCAGCCAGTGCTCTTAACCACTGAGCCATCTCTCCAACCCCATGAGTAGTTTTTGTTTTTGTTTTTGTTTTTGTTTAATTAGAAACAATTTGTTTTCTTTGGTTTTATACAAATGTGTGGTGTGTGTGCGTGGGTGCAGGTACCATGTATGTGTGTGGTGTGGGTGGGTGGGTGCAGGTACGCATACCATGTACGTGTGTGGTGTGGGTGGGTGGGTGCAGGTACACATACCACGTACGTGTGTGGTGTGGGTGGGTGGGTGCAGGTAACACATACCATGTACATGTGTGGAGGCTGGGAAGAGGAGACGGGTCCGTCCTGCTTCCTCATTCTCCGTGGTAGTCCTTTGAGGCAGTTTCTTGTTAAACCTGGAGCTTGCCATTTCTCAGAGAGGTTGGCAGCCAGCGAGCTCCTGTGATCTTGTCTCTCTGCCTTCCATAGTGCTGGGGTCACAGTTGTGTGCAGCTATGCCTGCTTTTGTATGAGCATGATGGGATCCAAACTCGGGTCCTTGGGCTTGCAGTAGCAAGCACCCACTCATCTGCTGAGCCATCCATCCATCCCTGTTGTATAGTGATATTTCCATAATTTTAGCTTAAAAAAGCAATACATGCTCACAGTAGAAGATGCAGCTGAAAGGACACTGTACAAGCTCTAAAGCTGGGTGTGGTAGCATGTACCTGAAATCTACTCAGGCTGAGATAGGAGGGGCTCAGATTTGAGACCTGCCTGGGTCCTGTCTCAAACGAACCTTAAAACTTACCCTTAGAGGCTGGAAAGGTTGCTCAGCGGTCAGAGCTCTGGCTGCTCCTGCAGAGGGCCAGGTTTGATTCCCAGCACCCACATGGCGGCTAACAACCATCAGTAACTCCAGCTCCAGGGGATCCGATGTCCTCTTCTGACCTCCACAGGCATCGCATGTGCACTTACACATGAGACAGTACACTCATACACATAAAATAAAAACAATATGTAAAATGTTTTAAAAACTTACCCTTAAACCAATATTATCACATTGGTATTTACTTTTCTAAACTCTATAAATATATGGGTATGACTCTTGTCAAAACTGAGTATTTCAGGGGCTAGAAAGATGGTCAGCTGTTAAGGATGGGCACTGCACACAAGTGGTGCACACACATACACACAGGCTCACACACCCTATAAATAATACCTTTTAAAAAGACTCTGAGTAACTTCAGTTTTACGTTTCTGTTCTTTGCTGTGGGTTGGAGGCTTTTCTGTTTTGTTTTGCTTTGTTTTACTTAGAAATGCACTGTGCCTGTGTTTCTGTGCAAGGAAGCAGGTTGCCTGCAGGCACCTCTAGCCAACATTGGCTCCGGTCTCACTCTGCACTTCTCAGGATCATGCGTCATGGACGGCAGGGCAGTAGAGCCCGCACTACGGCACCTGTCCTTGCCAGTCTGGGCCCTCTCAGCGCCTTGGGAAAACCACACAGCTGCGTGTACCAGCTCCAGGTGTGCTCAGACTCCCTGAGCTGAGTCACACAGATGGGGCTGCCTCCATTTGCTCAGTCAGTTTTAGGTGCTTATGGATCACTTTGAGCCAGGTTCCTTCTCATTGCTAAAATTCCACATAAACAAGACTCGTTCCCTGCCTCCAAGGTGTACTCAGTTAAATAAGACTGGAAGTTAGTGGTGCGCTGGACAGTGAGTGCTGTGACGCACGGGTAGAGCTCGGCCGGGCTGCCTAGGTGGTGTTCGGTGCTGTTGTAGAAACACCGTCTGCTCGGCAGCCCAAGACCCCAGAGGCCAGGGCCCCTGTTCATCCCCATGTTCAGTGCTGCACACTCCTGAGCGTGGCATCTGCTGGGCAAACCGTCTCTCTGTTTTGTTTTGATTTGTACAAGTTATTCGTGCTTAGAGGGACTTCAGAACCAGTCATGAAAAAGATGAACTCTGTTAGCCAGCAGTGGCCCTGTTGACATTTTATAGATCGGGGTCTTCTAGATGCATCTCTACATATGGTCTCTTTATTTTTAAAAAATTTAATTACATGCTAGATACTGTCCTAGCATCTGTTTATCCCGTGGTCTGGTGAGACCTACTCTCTAACTTCAGTCATTTTAATTGGCCACACGATGGTCTGCTGTGTATGGGTATATTATAATTTAAGTCCCTGACTGATGGACAGGTGACTAGTTTGTAATATTAAGCTAATAGTACCATACTTTAGGTACAGGATGGGATAAATAAGCATTTGTAGTATTTTATCTGGGAATCAGTTAACCATTAAAAATTTCTCTTTGAAAAAATTGGAACTTTATATTTTCATCTCAGTATTTTTATACCGCTTCTTAGAAACTATTTTAAAACAAGCCGCTCTTCACTCTGTTCAGCAGTAATTGAAAGTAATTTACCACGTTTTGTGGCAAAAGCATTTGAAGGCCACTCATGTAATAAGTCTCTGAAGAGCTCACATTATAAAAAGCTAGTTTATTATTAATGTGTTTGTTTCCACAGGCACCAGATGCAAATTCCTGTGAAATATGCCATGAGGTATTCAAGTCAAAGAACATGCGTGTGTTAAAATGTGGGCACAGATTTCACAGAGGGGTAAGAATCGCCTTTGGCTGCCCTCACATCATGCGCTATGACTATCAAGCATTTTGAAAATAAATAGAGTTTGTTTTTCTCTAAGCACCACTTACTGTATTTCCAAAACCATTTTCTTCAAACTTGCACATGCAGTGTTTGCCCTTTGCAAAGAAGGTGCTGCGGGGAGTGGGCAGGCGTCCTGGCAGGGGTGTTTAGCCCTGTGGAGTGCTCCTTCTGTCCATCACGTCATTAAAGACTCACCATTGACTTCATTAGCTGTATCAGCACTGACACTCAAGGAATGTTAATTCCTTAAAAGTATGGCATCCTACACATGACAAATGAATAAACAGTTGACTCGTTTGTTTGGCATAGTACATGAAGTTGGTTTAGCCTTTAAAGGAGACACTGCACACAGCTGCCCTGGGAGATTCGGGTTCACACCCTTCCGAGGCTCGTGCTTGTTGTCTTCGGCTCTGGGCACTGCGAGTATCCATCAACATTTCTGCTGGGCTAGGACAGGTCAGCTCCCTGCCGGGTTAGTTAGTAATCCTCAAGACAGGGATAAGTACAGAACGCTCACTAGAAGGAATTAGAACCTTTCAGACCCTCCTTCGGGTATGACATCACATTCCTGGGCTCTCCAGTTTTCCATATATGCCTCACCATGTGGCATCAGCAGGCCAGCCAGGAACAGCAGCAGGGAACATGGTACCCAAGCTGGTGGGGCACTCAGGAGCCAAGAACAGGCATTGGGGTATGTCAAAAGAGCCACCAAAATACCCACTCTTACAAGCCCACTAAAGAGCTAAGGCTGACAGTGGGTGCAAGGGGAAGGCCACTCTTGGTGCCAGACGAACAGCCCGAAATAGTCATGAATCCAGTTCTAGAGCATTAACTTTTTCCTGGGACTGCATCCATACCCCACCCTGAGCAGGTATCCAGGCTCTTGAGCATTGGGCAACACCATGCCCCAGGAGACTTGGAAGTGACATTAGCTAAACCTGCCAGGGAGCCCAGTGGCTTAGGCAACTGACTGATTCTGATTCTGTTTTCCTCCTTTTCAGTGCTTTAAGCAGTGGCTTAAAGGGCAGAGCACATGCCCCACCTGTGGCAGTGGAGACCTCCTGTCCGAAGATTAGCTTGCACCTTCCTTCCGGGCCCCTAGTGGAAGACGGGAACTGCCTCCCTGCTGTTCTGGGTAGTTACTTCTCACCATAGTGTCGTTCACGTGTGTGCTGAGTTGAAATAAGTCCTGCCATTGGTAGAAAAGCAGCAACCATCTGAACTCTTGCACTGTGTACCACAAAGCTAGCAAGTGGAAATCTTGCAGTCCTATCAAGTTCCGTATCAAGTCCTTTCTCCCCTCACTAGACTCTTCAGATGGTGTTTCACCACAGTCTCACACTGTTGTCTGCAGAGGAGCTCTGCGGGTGGGTGGCTTCCTTTGGAAAGGATTGTGAAGGCATCAAAGCAGTGCTTGAATTAGACGAATTCTTAACTTGGCCAGATACCGTGGGTCCCCTTTTGTGTTTTAAAAATCATTTCTAGGAGCTCCACAAGAGAGATGATACTGACCTTGAAAAAGATTATGTAAAGCCGGACGGTGGTGTGTGGTAATCCCAGCACTTGGGAGCCGGAGGCAGGCAGATCTCAGTGAGTTTGAGGCAAGTCTGGTCTCCATAGTGAATCTAGGCCACCTGTGACTGCAGGGAGACCCTGTCTCAAAAAAATCACACACAAAAAAATTGTGTAAAATTCAGTATTCTTGAAATGCACCCACATGTTCCTTAAAGATTCTACATTTTTTTAATGTGCTTTGAATCACATTTTAGTAATTTATGTTGTTACAATATTTGCTGGTATAAACCAAGACTCAAGTCTCTTCATGAAACCCCAGTTGCTCCCATTTCTTCATTCCTTTCCTCTCCTTTTGCCCGTCTCCCCCCAGCACTGGGCTGAACCAGTGCCTCATACATGCTAGACCAGCGCTCCGTCAATTGAGCTACACCCCCACCCCACACAGATTGTGTAAGTGCTTTGATCCAGTGTCTAGAAATCAGTTACAAAACACTTTTAAATTCATGTCGGCCAATAATTTTTTACCCCTGAAACAGGCTTCAGTAGCCCCACACTTGGACTTCACTCTGAGGTTACCGCGCTGCTCTCATGGGTCGGTTAACTGTGCCGAGCACAGGGCGCCGTATAGAACAGCCGCCCTCATACTCCATCCTCTTCCCACCACCAAAAAGAGAAACTTGTGTACCAGACAATCCTGAGGTGTTTGTGTTACAGTTGTTCCGTGTTTGACATTTGTGTAAAGTAATGCATGCAGTTTTGTATTGTGGCCTGAAAATAAAAGTGTAACTGCGTTAGAAACTATTTAAAAATTAGATTTTTTTTTTTGGTGACCAATATACAGTGGTAAATACAAACACATGAACCCTGGAAACATTCCATTTCTCTGAAACATGAAGGAGCAGTAAATGTTCTCCAGTGTGTTCTCTGTGCCACTGGACATGTGGTTTGTGAGCAGATTTGGTCACCTTCCCCCTTTCCCCATCCTGTGTGAACTGTGATGTCTTAGTGACTTGGTCCCTAGCAGCGCTCCTTTTTCCGAGCGCTCTCCGTGGTCGTCCTGGACACACTCTGCATACCCACAGCAGTTGAGAGTGCGAAAACACTGGGCCAGTTTGCAGCATCAGTGCAAAGAGCAGCTGTCAAGAATGTGTTCTGTGCTTGACTTGAGAGCTTTGTGAACATGCCTTGTGTTTGTCCAGTAGCTGTCAATAAAGAGTGTTCTAGAAGACCAGCTGCCCGCTGTCATCCTTGCCGTTTCTCTCCAGGTAATTGTATTTTGCATTCTACTTGAAATTCAGAGCTCTGTGCTGTGCTAACACAAAGAAGTGATTTTCATTTGGGAGGAACAGGCTTGCTACATCTGAGTCTTGACCAAAGATCTTAAGGCACTTAAAGCCTGGATCTAAACACTCCTTTGTACCGAAATACCACTTGCTAGACTGAAGTTTAGAAGACCTCTTAAGTCTGTAACTAGAATGTTTATGCAGAGATGATCGCATTACCGTTCTAAGCTAAACGAATAAACCGTTCTTGGGAATGCATGTGAAGAGGCTGAGGGAAATTACAGCTTTCGGTATTGGTATTTTTTGTGTGTGTGAGACACTTACAGATTCGTGGACTGCTGAGGCTGATGATAGCAGTTGGCTTTTAAGGGACCATTTGGGTGTGCTGAGTCAATAGATTCTTGAAGGCACAATTTTAAAAATTAAGTATATTCAAAAAGTTTTAAGGACATATTTTAATCTAGTAGCATCTAATTCAAAATAATGTGTAACAAACAATTTCTATTACTTAAATATTTAATTTTTCTCTCTGAGGTCCTTAATCTATATTATACATACCAGATAAACCAGTGTAAAACTGCAGTGGAATCCCAGCAATGCAAAATGTTTTTTGCTTTTTGAAATAGGCTCTCCCTGTAGCCCCATCTGGCCCAGAACTCGCTCTGTAAACCAGGCTGGCCTCAATCTCATAGATTCCCCTGCCTCTGCCTCCGCAGTGCTGGGACTAAAGGCATGCGCCACTACGCCCAGCTAAGATGTTACATCTTTACGGTACGGTGAAAGACTGTATGGTGGACACAGGAGGTCAGCATGATCGCACACTGCAACCAGAGCAGTAGGACTGGTGTGGCGTCATTCCAAAGTTAGGTAGATGACCCTCTCTGGAGAAGGGGATTCAGGGGCACACTAGAAGAGAAAAGCAAAGGGGTAGCTCTTTCATAATGATGTATTTACTGATGAGACAGAAGGCGAGGACAGCACAGTGATGGGGCACTCAGGATATGAACCAAAACAGCTCCTGTGTGACACTGCGTACAAGAAATGGGGAATGTGTTAGGTCTCTTAGACACCTGTGCGGCAGGCTTGATGAAAATGTCATTTCTAGGGCTGGAGATACAGTGCAGTGGTTAAGAACACTGGTTGTTCTTACAGAAGACCCGGGTTCGAATCCCAGCACCCATATGGCAGCTAACAACTGTCTGTAACTCCAGTCCCAGGGGATCTGACAGCTTCTTCTGACCTCCACAGGCATTGCATGACATGGGTGCACTTACCTATATGCAGGCAATACATGCATACACATAAAAATAATAAAA